ATTTGTTGTGGTAGTTGTTTTTTCCCAGTTCATTCTGTTGATGCTCAAAAAGGGGAGAGAGCAGCCACATGGAATCTGTCTGCTGCGAGAAATTCATAATCTTCTTGCACAAAACAAATTATTAAAATTCAACTTTAGAGCTGTCTTCTTTAATAAACCAGAATAGATGTAGTTGAAGGAAATAAATGATCACCATATATTTCATTTTTTCATAATTTCACAACACAGAGCAAAACACAGATATTTTGCCATTACTGCATCAAATACTAAAGAAGTCTCTAAGCAATGCCTCTAGATTTGAAAAACAACTGACTGTTCAGAAAAGGCAGTTTAATTAATTCTTGTCCATTTAAGACATGATTATCTGTACTACTGGTACTTGAAAATGCAGTCCAAATAAACAGGAGAATTAAGATCCAATTGGTGCGAATCAGAGGTAAAAAAGGAGAAATACTACTTCTCTGTTCTGATCCACAGCTAAAGAAAATGACAAGTCACGACCCCAGCCTGGCACAGGGGGTACGAGACACCTGACACACTCAGCTGAAATAGGAGAGCTGATGTCTAAGATCAGTCCCTTTTTTTGCATTTAGACAGTGTAGTGCCAGCTAGACCACTGGCCTCAGTTATTTGCTAGCTGTGCAAAAGCTAGACTGAGCAAGCTGATCTCTGTGATGCAAGTAGCAGGGAAATTGGTCTAGTTTTCCCGTATCAGGAATATGAGGCTGTGTATACTGTTAGCATAGATAGTAGGTGGCATGCCTAAAAAAATTTCTGCAATGCTGAGATTCTTGAGGAGAGATCAAGAGGTACAATAGCCCAATTTATTTTCGTGTGTGTGTGTGTGTGTGTGTGTGTGTGTGTGATTAGTATTCCAAAACTGAGCCATGGACTTGAATGTTGGGGTCAGTTTAGTTTAGTTTAGTTTAGTTTTAAGCCCATACTGTGATTGCTGATAGACTCAGCAGTGGGGAATGTGCCATGAAAATAGCTCTAAATACAATGTGCACACACTATGCTGGGTCCAGCTGTACGGATATTCTAGAGCCCAGTAAAGATGGAGAAGAGAAGAACATTGACTCAGGCCTGGCCTGGGTCTTTGCTAGGGATGCAGAGACCTGCATTTGAATGAGGAACAGGGGCAGGGCAGGCAACCCATGGGGTCAATATTCACAGCCCAAGCCCTTGTCCTGAATATTTTGTGAACCCAGTAATAGGCTTCTTACACTAGTCCTGATGTGTAGAGTGAAATTTGCCTGAGCAGGGATGCAGGCAGAGTAAATCCTTGTTGCAGATTTTAACCTGAATCATTACAGTGTGAGAAGGACAGGAAAGATAATTGGAATGGGGCAGATTTAACACTGGTGGGGTTTATTATCATGCTAGCATCTCAGTGATTTCACAGAGAGATCTTTGTATCACAAATTTGTAGCAAAACTTTCTGTGGATAAATCTGCTCTGGGAAAGTAAACACCCAGGCTGCAGGCCCATGCATGGCTCTTCAACTGTCCAACACAGGATCTGATCTGTGATGGATATCCATATTATCCATTCATGTGTCTAATGCACATCTCCAAAACTAAGCTGTTTCATTATAAAGAATAAGTGCAGACCTAACAACTATGTTGAAAAATCTTGTTAAAGCAGGGGAGTCATCTCCAGAGGAAAGCTGCAGGGCCCAGGCTGTTGAATCTTTGCTGCCATTTTTACAAGAGGTGACCATTACTGAGGCCTTGCAACTTTAACCAGTTAAATTACAAATCCAAGTAAAACATCTTCTCCTAAAGAAGAAAAAATCAGTTGAAATGCTTCATTTCCTAAACCACATATGTGCTTGAAACCTCTCACCTCCATTCTTCTTCAAAAAAATACCATCACTCTAACTCATTTGTGCTACAGCTTTTTAAGAAAAATGTATTTGTTCAGGAACTTGGGCTAGTAGCGTACCTTCTGTGATAAACAATAAAGTGCAATGTTGAATCTGATACTGGACTTCCTGGGTTATTTTTCCAAATTGTAAATTCAAAAAAAGTTATTTTCCTCTTGAGTATTTTTAGGTCAGTTAACGACATTATTAAAACGTCAGTCTCTTTTAGCTCTATGGAATCTACACACCTCAGGAAAGTGAGTCATTCACACTGACTGGGAGATTCAGTTTTAAGTTGTGCTCTTCACTGACTTCTGTTTGAAATGAATAAGCAGAAGCTTAAGGTTTTTTTCACCATGGAAGTTTAACATGTCAGGATATACCCTATGGAATTTGTATCTTGCACAATGTATTGAAATTGTAATATTGCTCTGTGTATTAAGCTCTCTCCTGATGAAAGCACAGGTAAGTATTTATGCCGTCTCATGTAATCTGGATTTCAAAAATATAAATGATCTCTGTGGTCACAAATCTGGTAGTTGACATTTGAAATTGTGAAATGCTCACTGTTTATAATGTTAAGGATTTTATCCAGGGTTGAATTTATTAACAGTCTCATTTGTGTCTTCTTAACTCCATGTAAATCTATGTGCATATCTTAGTTGAAGGCACATTTGGAGGATTATTTGCATGAAATCTGCTGATGAAGATGTGTGGAAATAGGAAAGTTATTTTAAGACAGCTATAGTAGGGTATTTTCCTCTCCAGGATGCTTGTTAGCTCTGACAAATCTTTGTTAATTTTGTCTGGCTGTTTTCATGAATCTTTGGATTCCAACAAAAGCTAATAAAACCAGCTATGAATGCTTTAAATATAACTACATTTCAGAGAATATCAATCAGAGAAGGACTACTATGTGATGTTGATACAGAAGCATACACATTTGTTGCTTTGTGCTGTGCAATAGCATTCAGAGGAAGACTTGCTCCCTCATCAAATTTCCATACATTTGAACTGCTCTTGCCCAGAGTTAAGGTAAATTGCATGACAAATGTTAAGATCACCAATACCCATTCCAGGGAATCAAAGTAACTGCTGACCTTTGAATGTGAACACATTCACACACCAGTCTACCAACCATCTGGTGTGACCTGACATTTCTATCACTGGCACTCCTGTCTCTCACAGCTTCCCTCCAAAATACCACAAATGCGATGATTTATGCCCATGGTGACTGCCATTTTTCTCTGCAAAGTGTCCTCAGGCAAGTACACTTTGCTTCCTCTGGCCCCTTTATTTCCACGACTACTTTTTTCTCTAAATCCTACTGGATCATACCCCTACTTGTCAGGGTTGTTAAGGGAGCCGCCAAATCTCTCAGGCTGAAGATCCCGTCTCCCCAGCCAACGTGCCCATCCTGAAACATTCCGAGGTGATCTCTACACACCAGTCCCAAGGATACAGCTGCTGCTCCTCTTCCTGCCCGCAGGTCTGGCCAGTAGCGAAGTTGTTTGTGTATCCAAGTGACACGCTGACACACATACAGAGGGGTCCCTAAAGCAGCTGGCTGAACAGACTGCTGCACACACACCGAGCAGCGTGGGTAGCACAGCCCACCTATAATGATACCCAAACTCACACAAGGGCAGACGGTCCTGTCCTCATCCTCTCCTCAATTCCAACGGAGGTTCTCTGGTGAAAGTATGTGTGCCCCCATTCTCCACATCCATAAACACACCCATATTCACAGTCCCCTTGATGGATAGCATTGCCTCTAAACCTGTTTAATACCCATCCTGGGAGTCCTTTCAGTGGTATACAAGTCATCTCCTACTTGCCAGATAGAGCAACGTGATGTTTGCTAGTGAAACAGATGCATACACTCACAGAATCATCACATAGGTACTCCTGTGAATATTAGTATGGGCCCTCAGCCTGCCTAATATCCATGCCTGGAACCTGGGCTCCTTTACCCTAATCACTGGCTCTGACCAAGTCCTCCAGATGTGGAAATGTTTCCTCCAACTCACCAGCTAGTCCAGCTTGAAGTTTGCTAGTGAATCATGCATACACAGAGGATTAAATACACGAAAGAAATATTAACACACACTGGTCTGCCCAGCTGTCGGCACGTAGACCTCTTAACACACCCATCTCCCACAGCCTGATCCCTCCAGTTGCTGCAACCCACACCTATAGCCCTGGTGCCCATGGCCTCCTCTCCAGTTGCTGACACCTGGACCTTTTCAACACACGTACAAAACACACACACCAGTCCCTTCAGTCTTGGTCTTTAAACTTAAAAACACTAAGGCCCACAACCCTCCACTTACTGGCACACAGACCCTTGCATGGCAGTCACTCCATGTGCTAGTACCTAGATCCATGGTCCCTAAGACCTGCGGTCTCCTCTGGTCATTGGCACACAGATTTCTTTTGCAGGCTGGTCTCCCCAACTGCTGGCCCCATTTTCCCCCACTTTTCTTTGGATCATTTGGTCCTTCCCCTAAACAATGCCATAGTCATTTTTACATAAGTCCACAAGCCTTTTCTGATAGCTCCCAAGCAGCTCCAACTTACCAATAATACTCATACTAATCATGTTTTCCCCTTCCTATCAGTTAAAAATTGTTGTTCAGGTTGACATTGTTGAAGGTTCTGCCTGAGAAGGTCCTTTAAAGGACCATCAATCAGGGGATGAAGCATTCTGGATGCTCATTACTGTCTCTGTTGTGACTTCCTCATTAATGTTTGTGTGTCTGTGAGGTTCATTTATCACTTTCCTCATTACTTATTATTTTTTTTTATAGTAGGTAGATCACAACCAAATAACTTCATGAACCAGATGCTTCCACACTCCAAATACTCTCGCACTACTGACTGACAGCTGTAGCAGGACTCAGAACTGCAGGGTACCCTGTGAATACAGAGTTCAGCTCCTCTTTATTATAAACATCTGTATAATGATAATACTGCAAACCTAGGCTTTGCTGTGCTGATTCAAAGTCAGGATGCAGTTCTATACATTTTCTTCATGTTCAGATAGACTTGAAGGACTGGGCAGGCGTGTTACAAAACAAAGTTCCTTTTTTCTCCATTGCATGATGATACACAACACTGTCAGACACTTCACTGACTTAAACACAGTATTTTATCCAGATGATTAATTATTTTCCAGACTTTACAAACCTTTATCGTGATGGTTGAGATAAAAGGAGCAGAAAGAATGATGACGAAGTTGTGGTTTTGCAGTGATGTTCATCTTGTGTCTTTGATGCTTATTTGCATTATCTTCAGAAGGACGTTTTAGTCTAAGTGGGGGAAAAAAAAAACAAACCCACATCTTAAAAGTGTGTAGGGAAAGGAAATATGTGTACAGTGTAAGAGCATTAATTGCAAAGAAACCGAAACTATTTATTGGAAGGTCATGAAGTAACAGTGTCAAGTATCTGACACTGCACAGTGGTACTGCAACTCAATGGGATATCACACAAAGAGTATTAGTGCAAAATTAAAATGGAACTCTACTGTCTGGAAGGCCATTCCTCTTCAGTTTGCTTACAAAATTTCCCCGGTGCCCTCTGAGTCCCTCTAAGCTATGTCACTCTTGCTATTTCCAAGATAAGCCTCTATTTAAACTAAGAGTCCATGCATCTCGGACTATGAAATTTCCTGTGAAAACCTGCCCAAACATTGCTGCTATGCACTGCAAGGCATTTCTGAACCAGTCACTCAGATATAGTTTTAATCTGCTATCTTCTTTTACCTCTCCCTAAGTCATGATTTCCATGGCTACTTTGTTCCTAGCATAAAAAATGGCCTTTGAATAGGGTAAATTATTTTTAGATTTGCTTTTTGTTCTGACATTTTTGGCTGGAATTTTTAGCACCATATCCAGGTGTTTTAAGGGGGGATCTTTAGCACAAAAGGCAGTAATAGATGAAACACAATTCTACCAAGTAGAAAATGTGATTTAATCACAAATTGAAAATTAGCCTCTTCACACTCTCCCGCTCAGTGTAGGTTGCCATTGGGCCAGTATGGGGGTGCTGGGTGGAGGACAGCAGGTTTTGAATTAAGGGGCTTTTTGCTGTAAATTAATGGCACTTAATGGAGCTTTTCAATTCCTAAACTGGAGTCTTTAGATTACAAAAATGTGACATCTTCCCATTTACTTCTTACCAAATTTGATTATTTACTTTTTAGTGAATATAGATGTGTGTGTGTGCATTTGTGTGTGTATTTGTTGAAAGAGGCAAAATACTTACTTCTTCCAGAGTCAAGCTCTCCCTGTTTTCCTTTCCTTTTCTGTATTTCTTTTTAAGGCACACTGCAGTTGTGATAGTGACAATAAGCATTACAACAAATACAGCTACGGTTGAAGAAACAGCTATTACAATATTTTCTTGAGCTGTGCCTTTCCTTTCACACTTTTCTCCCATGTACCACCAGTCGTCACCTACTGGACATCTAGAAAGCGAAAGGACAGACATATGTTATCACCTAAAGATTAAAGGTATGAAAAAGTCTACTTCAGAAAAATAGCATCTCTGATGCAGTTTCTAAATCCCAAAGTATAATGAAGTTATCTTAAAATGGACTTCTATTTAAAGCTGTCTTGAGTGGCCCACTGTCCTTGCACATTTGAATGAGCTTCTTTCAGCTTCCTGCTGTTTCACAGGTCATGCCTTCAGAGAGAGCCTTTTCCACAAAACCCAAGCTCCTTCCTGATACTCTTGCCTCCTTAACACCTGACTGCAGCTGATCTATACAGCTGCTGCCACTGAATGGTAGCACCCTCAAGGCTTCTCTGAACAGACAGCAGGTGAGCCAAAACTTAGCTGCAAGAACTCCCCAGTTCAATGCCTGAGCTAGCCAAAGGTGTTCCCACCATATTGCGCTTTCACTGCTCAGTGCTTCTCCAGTGAGATGTGGTACATTCCAATCAGACCTTCTCATTGCCACAAAGGGCTTTTTTTCAAATTTAAAGAACTTGTATGAGCTGCCTCTGCCCTCCTCCAAGAAGCAGGTAAGAAAAGAAATTAATATCCTAGCAGTTGTCTGGTTTAAGGACTGAAAACAACCTCCAGGCTCTGATTCCATCACCTTATCCAGCATCACAATCAGCTCCGAAACATTTTATAGTGAGCACATGAGGGTCCAAATGATCTAACTGAAGAAAAAAACGTGTGTGCAGTACTACTGAGTGCACACCTGCCCCTGTCTTTCTGACCTTGGTTACTCCTTACGTATTGATTTTCTAGTTCCTGTCTAGGCCATTTATTCAGAACTACCCTCAGCCCTGGAAATGAGTCCATTTGCAGTACGCTGCAAAGATACTGGCTGTGAGGGGGACTTCAGGTGATTCACCTGGAACAGACGTCCGTGCCACATTCCCGCTCACTTCCCAGCAGAAAATTGGAGCGGAAACTGACTGCTGGTCACATATTTCTGTAGGATGGAAAGTAGGTTGCAAAGGCACTAAAGCTTTGAATAGCCTAGAGATGTCAGAAAATAAGTGTTCTCTTTCCATATTTCAGAAATCAGGCATAACAGTATATTTTTTTGTCTTTTTGGAACAGCTTCTTGACATTTACTCGTATTTGTGACCTGCTTCTGATGAGTTGCACAAGAGCTGTTTTTAAAAGGTTTCTAAATGGGGAGATACAATACTTAATGAGTCATCCTGACTCTTGTGGCTCCCGGCCTTTAGATGTTTGCCTGACAGCACTCCCCCAGTCTACCTGCCCTGGCACAGCATCATATAAGGTCACTATCTTCAGGCTTGGAGTTTGCTTGAGAGCTGGAACAGCTCTAATCAGGCAGGTGGGTTACATAAATGCATCCACAGAGAGTTTAATAAAAGTTGATATTAATCTTCTTACAGGGCAAACAATCTTTTAGTCCTCAGCCTTCATTGCTGGTTTCAAAGGCAAGCAACTACACTTTGGCAATTTATCGTCATAATTTGCACTGTACAGTATTTCTGAATCAAATTCTAACATAATGTCTATGCTGCTTCCTACCTGATAAGCATTAAAAATTTTTTCTACTAATATAAAAGCTCTTTCAACCGCATTTATTTAACTTCTACATTTTACTACAGGGACTTCTAAGGACTTGGAATAATACATTACTGAAAATAATAAACACACTTAACATGTAATTTACAGGAAAGTCAATTGGAGTACTTCAAAATCATCAAGTGCTGAGGTTAGGGGCTTTGTTGCCCAAATCAGTTGTATCCTGTCTCACAGGAGCAGTTGGAAACACTTGCCTTAATCAGCTACAGTCTGTCTTTCATTAGGAAACAAAGATTTATTTTACTAGAAACTTTCATTACTCATCCTAGAATTGCATTTGGGAGTGAATAAAGGCAGTTACCTGCACACTGGTGCTCTATCTACCATGACACAGACACCATCATTTTCACAAGGGTTATCTGGACAGAAAGACGGGCCCTCTGGCTCTTCCGGGGCCGTGGGCTCAGTGTTGGTGCCTGGCTTGGTGGTGGGAGTAGGGCTTGAGTCAGGTTTGACAGTGCTGGCACGTGTTGTACTAGTAACAACAGTGGGTGAAACACTCGGCTTAGTTGTCAGTAGATGTGATATATCTGCATGATAAACCCACAAGAAATAAGGTCTTTACTTCATGGTATTTTTGTTCTTATCCCAAAGATAGTTTCTTATAATAAAGCGCAATTTGGAAATGTCCTCTAGATTTTTTTCAGAAACAGATAATTTTATTCAAACTACTCTATTCAATATAATTTTCACAGGATTAGCATTGTTTTATACACCTTCACGTGAGATAAAGGAATTACACCTTGCATGTATTTATCCACAAATTTGTTCAAACATATGATTTGGCTTTAGATACAGGCATAAATCGAAAACTGCTCATGTGCAAAGTACATGAAGTGTATTTATACCTATAGCACTAGTGACTTAGTGTATGACATTGTTTACCACATCATAAAGAGTATCAGCTACATTAACATACCTTCCATTGTTAAAAGAATATAGACACCATCTTCTTTAATAAAGTTGCGTCTTCTAAGTCTCTCATGAGTTAAAAATGTTGCTGTTCCAAATCCTGGACCTCTCCTGAAGTTAGTTCCATTGGGAAAAGTTGCTGGGGATCCCACTATATCTGGCCTATCCCAAAAAAATTTTGATGAGGAATCTAGAAAAAAAAAAAATAAAAGAATGTGAATGTGAGACCACTCTGGATTACTCTCTCAGTAGAAATCACAACTGTCTGAGATTCCACACTGATGAGATCCACAAGACAATGGAGATCTTCAATGCTTCGGTTTAGCCTCATATATTGAGGAAACAACCTGTGGGGGAGAAGAGGATACTGGAGAGCTAGTTGAAAATCTGCTGTATTTTATTTTTAGTTCTTTAAAGTGTAGTGGGCAAGAAGATAAGTAGCACATGAATCATCTGTAAAATGAGTTAATGCAGTGCTTCTCAAAAAAGAGGATCCCTTGCAGTAGGTGCAGGGCACTTGAACAACCTGAAAGATCACAGATCACTGATGCCTGCTCCATCAAACCCTGCTTTAAATTCAAAGCTGAGCCTGATTGTCTATGAAAGTATCTGTCACAGGGGGAAGAAACTGCCTGCTCCAACACCTCTCTGGTCAGAGAAAGGGTACATGTTACAAGGTTTTTCTTGGGAATCTGGGACTATTTGCAATATGTGAACAAAACAAGGGAGAAGAGGCAGAGTGCAAATAGACTGCATGTCCACAGGGTCAGGGAAGGAAAAGGGCTAACCACTGTGGCCATAAGAGCAGAAAGCACAGGGAAAATGTCAAACATCTATGGAGGACATGGTGTGGTGCATCTTTCCTTTACAGGGAGGACATTTAGTCTTTCCAGATTACATGCTTCATTTTCACGTAGAGCCAGCACCATAGAAAAATGAATGTAAAACATACAACTTTTAAAATAATACTGTGAATTAGGCATTTTTTGTGCCTTCCTTCCTTCTATAATGTTGAAGTCCAAAAGCCCAGGAAACCAAATCAGTGGTGGAGGTGGTTTCTTTTGGAAAAACCCTTACAGCAACGTAGAAAGTAATTTTGGCTTATACCCAATCTTTATCCAGTGATGAAGATGGGTGTTTTCTTAAATCTCTCTCTCTCTCTCTAGAGATTCCTACCATTTCTCAGAGTTATATTTTACCTCAGCTCCCTCCTCTCCAAGTCATTGTGGACAATTGCCCCTTATCTTCTCACACCTTGAACAAGTACAGATTATGTAATATGAATCAGTACTTTGTCCATCTGGAGATCTGCGCTGACACCACTGTACCTTTGACAAGGAGGGCGGGGATTTGTTTAATAGCTGCACTTTTATCTGGTATGAACTTTGTGTATTGTTAATTCAGTATTTTTCAAGCCTTCTGGAAAACTTCTATTCTAATTAAAACAAATATAAATGCATCTTCACAGAGTATATGAAAGAAACTTTAGGGATAGATCATCCACCTGTTTCTTACACAAATCACCTTTGAAATCCAGGGTCCCAGCTTAACTTGTTTGTAGGTTCATTTTTTTCTTGTCTGTGGGTCAATTATATTGTTTCTGCAAACAGATGAAACGTTCCAAAGCAAGCTGCACTAATTTACACACAATAGATGTGACTCCTTGTCTTTTGGTTGTGTTTTACATGTATTGAGTGGCATGCCTGATTTTAACTAACCTGATAATTTCTGGGGGTCCGTTGTTATACTCCTTTGGTTTGACATCCGTTGACGAATATCAGGATGCTGGTCGAGCAGAATCATGGTACCTTGCTGCCATGCACAGGGCCATTGCAAATGATCATCATTTGCTCCAGATATCAAGGACAAGTATATTCCTAAATTAAATGGGTTATCAGTGGTGCCATTTACGTACAAGCTGACCTGGAAAGCATATCCTTTACTAGAGTAAAAAGGTGGACTGTATATTCTTCCTGCTTCCCCTGCTGGACTTGTGTTGAGGAGATTTGTGAAATTTCTGATATGCCAGACATGGTGGGGACACTGAGTTTCTGACAAGTTGATGTCATCGATAGAGAGGCCTCCGTTTGATAAGCCACTTCCTCTCACGCCTTGAAACACAACCCGGAATTTACTCGTGACATTCAAAGAAACATGATGGAGCTGCCAGTAAGTCTCAGGTGAACCTGAAAAACAATGGCAGAGGTTTCTGAGTCAGAGGTACAGTCAAACACTGCACAGGTCTGTGGACCCTACACCAACACTGTGCAAGAATGTCTCAGTTTCACTGGCACTGATGTGATGGAATATTTCTTCCGTAGATGTTACTTTTTCAGTGCAAGACCATATTTTCTCAATACAATTTTGTAACAGATTTAATACGCATAGTAGCACTTTAATTTGAGTGAAAACATTGTTGATGGGTTTTAAAGCCACTCTTTTAAATGTTTCAAGAAAACTGCATTAAATCAGTCCAGATGTTGTGATAATGAAATGCATAAAAATGTCTGTCACCTGTATTATTAAAAAGAAAAAATTCAGAACAAGTTATATTCAAATAACTGAACAAAACCATGCCTCAACAAAGAAAAAAATACTTCAGAAGATCCTGGGAGCCTAGAACTACAATACTTGTTCATTCATTTGTTTTTGTATATTTAAATGGCTTATTGGAAGCTTGCCTATGCAGAAGCACTATTCACCCATTGAATGGTTAAAAGTACTGAGTTCGAATTAAAGCCAGTCCGTTGCAAATCCTACTTCATGGGATAAAACCTTACTGCAAGTCTGATGCTGCGTCCAAAAGTGCCTGCACTAGCAAATTCTGCTTGACTTCAAGAGCAGTGTACATAAAAGCAAAGACCTCTGCACAGAGGCCTTATGAGGCCGATGAAAGTAGAACACCCTTTATTAAAAGTATGCGCAGCAAAACAGTTTGTTTTGCTGTCTGGTTTGTGTTCATCTGCACAGAAGACCAGACTTCAGGGAATAAGCAGTGCCAGTCCCAGGTACAGAACTCATGCGTCACTCTCCTAACAATCCTAAACACAACACAATGGATCTCAAATATGAGTCTTAATTTCTTGACATTTTTCATTACCGTTATAATCAGGGGGAAAAAAATAAACCCAGAAATAGTAAGAAAAGCGTCCCACTGTTTTCCATGAAATTGCCTTCTGCATAAACTAAAGGTTTTTTGAACTGCACATATTATATGCAAGACTGGGATTTCTGAGTCATGCTCAATGAGCAGATCAGCTACTGTGCTGCAAAATGTCCCACGCCCACAGCCTCCCCTGCTCCTGGCTGAAGGCATCCACAGCTGCCACAGACCAGCGGGAAGGGTTCAGAGATTGTCCCTCAGCCCCTCAAGGGTGGTGGTTCAGTGCAAGCCCATAAGCAGCTCAGCCAGGGTGTCAGATCGTGGCTGGAAGGGGCTGCAGTGTCACCGTCTCTTCCAGGCCGTTGGCTGAGTTGGTGAGGGTAACTTCTTACAGGAGAGAAGTGAAACAGCTTGAGGGGAAAATGATCTTAAACCATTCCTGAAAGTTTTGCCAGAGACTGTCAAAATAAGGCGCCTGTTTGGACACACATACGAGATAGGAGACTTTAAAGGAAACCACGGACTTGAGAAAGCAGGAATGGGAGATGGGACCTAATATACATGAAAGAGTATTTGTGAGCAAGGATGAAGCGTGGCTTTAAAGTAGGGTTTGAAAGAGTTTGGAGGGTTCTGACTGATTTGAAACCTACATCTGCCTCAGCAGCACTGACTTTCTGGAATAAGCACTGCAAATCCCAGGTACAGAACTCATTCTATTAAGGATGCTGATAGCAAGCACAGAGGGATGGTGTGGCGAAACCCTCAGGGTGAAGAGTGGAAAAAGGAAAAAAAAACCAGGCAGCAGCAGCAGCTGAACCTAAAGGGGTAAAAAGAGACTGAAAAGCAGACTTCATACCTACTTAGTAAAAGAATTTACGTAGACTCTTATGTTACCAAAACACTGAATCAGGTGTAGCTGTAATGGAGACCAAATAACAGCTAAATATTTGAGAAAGTAATTTAATCATAAGGCGACTTTGGCAATTCTAGCTTAAAAAGCTCTTTCCATTAACTGACCTTAACTGTAGGCCATAGGCTCCTAAAGATCCCAATTATTTTTTTCAAACATCAACTCAAATCATGATCTGCTGCCCATATATTTCAGTTATGTCAAACCTTGTTAAAAAATTATTTAAATTTTATTTATATTTTTAAGCTTGCATATTAAGTATTCCAGTGCACATATGCTTTCCATTTCTTTACTATCACTTTTTTAATAATTGTAACTTACTCTATTTCATCTGTAGCGACTGATAGTAGCAATTATAGAACAGTTAAAATGACTGCTCATGGAATTCTATCTATTTTGGTGATAAAACTATTCCATAATGCAAGAGTTTGAAATTTGTGGTAATCTATTATATGATAAGGAAACAACTGACTGAGAATCCATCGGGTATAATTTCACCAGCAAGAAATCAATTACATAGACAGAAAAAGAGCCAAAGAACAACACTAGGAAATGAGTGACTTTGCTACAATCAGTACTTTTAAAAATATTGAATATAGATTAAACAAAACAAAACAAAAAGCACTTTCTTCCATACCTTTTATCTCTTCAATGAATCTCAAAGTGCCGTTCGGATGGGCTGAAGTGTACTCCCTGACGAAGACATACAACCGGTCACTTTCATGACCACTGTTGTATAAATAGAATTGTAAGCACTGAAAGCCCCTTTTGGGATAAAAAATTCGGCTCTCCAGGAGAGCTGTGCTTCCTTCTTCTCCAGCACTGGTGTTGAAATGCATGAAGTAGCCAGAATCTGACAAAAGTCAATAAGAAATGAATGGTAGAGCTGAGAGAAAACAAAATTTTCCTGGCACACTGCTTTTCCTAACACTGCATTGTAAGAACACTAGAAGACCTGTACAAATCCTTTGACTGAGGACTGTTACCTGTTCACATTCTCCAAAGGCAGAACCATTCTCCTTGTAACTTTTTTCCTCATGTGGGTGTCTCTAGCAATTTGTACTGAAAACCACGTGCTTTTACTCTTTACCCAGTGCTAGTAATTCATAGTTGACACTCTGGAGGATTGGTTTAAGCTTCTGAACTCATGAACCTTTCTGACAAGTTCAGATACAACGAGATATATTGTCAATTAGTTCTTCATTTTAGCCCTGATAATATCCATCATTTCAAAATCCTAATCCTTTCCAAGGAGTTATTGAGCAATTATTCAGAAAAGCAGCACTCTTTCTGGTGTGCCTGTACCATAGGTTAGAACTCTATATAGTTCTCATGTTGGGATGTGATACTAAGGCTAGAAAACAGATCAAAAGAGATAAGGGCATTCAATCTTCTCAAATAAGCAAAAATCAAACATATCACATGATGTCCCTAAGTATGTAGATTTATGTTGCTTAGTTAAAAAATAAACTGTCATTTGTCAAAAAACAAACAGATAACAAGGCCAAGCTCAAAGTGAACTCACATGACACTGCAGAAAGTGCTTCCCAGAAAGATAAGAACTTTTTTTTCATACCTTTGCATTCTCCCATATTAGTGTGATCAGTATTTGGCCCAGCAGGAACCTGAGACAAACGCTGCCAATCACTGTTATCGTGTGGACTTTGAATCATGCCACAAATATTTTCAAGTTCAAAACTGCATGTGTCCATAAAACTTAGTGAGGAGGCTATGACATTTAAAAAAAAAAAAAAAAAGGTCATGAATCTCTACTGAAGAAACATTTTAATTCTGAAGACCCAAAGCCATGAGCAGACAAAGACTAAATGCAAACACCAAACAATCACTGGCTTCAAATGCTATCAACATTCATATGCTCAGGAACTCAAAACTTTTGGTGATTAACACTGACATTAATAAAATTTTTAATAAGAAATTATCATATCATATTTTTCATTTATAAAAGGAACACTAATACCAAAACAATCCCTACACACTCATATTATAGTAAAAAGGTCCTGAGATTTCCCATTCATTCCACTGCTTTCTTTAGGCCAGTCCACACTCGGCCACAGATTTTAATAAAAGTTCACTAATGGATCAGCTGAAGTGCTTATTTTAAAATATAGAAGAGCAGAAGTTCTTTCACTGGAATAAGAAAACCTTGATTTTCAAAAAGCTGAACTGAAAGAAAACCCCAAACATCTGGCAAAGGTGCACTTGGGACCATTGGATTTCTCAAGTCATACAAATTTTGCAAAGTCTTTCATACAACAAGTGAAAAATTAAGTGAAGGATGACTGTCAGTTGAATATGAAGAGGAGAACACCATTTGAAATGTTTTCTCTGCCTGAAGCAAACTCTGGATGGGTGAGGGAAGGCACAATCCAGGTTTATCCCTGTTCTTTATTTTGTTTCCCATTGTACCATGTCTGAGCTCTGTGTAACACCAGCCATGATTTGAAAACAACGAAGTTAATAAAATGCTTTTTGAACTACACATAAAATATTGTGGCTTAAAGGTTTAAAGGTTTCATTGCACTATAATGCAACGAGTATCACAAAACTCAACCTCAATAACATGCCAAAAGCTTCACTTAAGCAGTAACTTAGGGAAGCACTTAGATATGAACTGCTGCCAAATCAGTTTTACTGCTGAGATATTTTGTGCTGTCCTCATAGAAAGCTGACAACCCTCTAGAGGATGCAAGGTCATCAGAAGTGTTGTATGACTAATATTTTTTAAGATACAATATTGGTACAATGTTGTAAAAACCAAGAAAAATATTCACAGTAAATGTTATATTGACTGCTAGAGAAAGAAGGTAAGGAAAAATGGAGAATTATTAGATGAAAGAACTCTTTGAAATCAAAACATAAAACCAAATTTGAAATTGATTTGCCCAAACAGGAAGGAAGAAGCCAAAAAAACTTAACTAGAAAGCACCGCTGGAGTGGTGACCTGAATGACAGGAAAAGAGAAAAGCAGGACCCAATAGTTTACGTTGTATTTCTTAGATTCATTCTTGAAATAGGGGAAGTGGGCACTGCTTGAGGCAGGTTTTGAATTCCATCTGAACCAAAGCCACATGCTTTCTTGGTGTGCAGTGAAAGACTGGACTTTGAGGAAAATATATAGGGGGAGAGTGCCGAGTCCCAACTTTCCACGTGTGAGGGAAACCTCATGGTCAGTTCTGTTAAGTAATATGCTGGAAGGGGAAAGCAGACTGAAATCTACTGTTATCATATGGCCTGAAAGACAGACTTGAAACAGAGATAAAAACAGCTCTAAACTATCAGTCAGGATTTGTTATGCTGAGAGTTGTTGGGTTTTTTTATTTTTAATTTAAGAAAGTGGTTTTTTTTTCATTTTTAATGCAATTTCCTAATCAAACAGGCCTGTAGCAGAAATTCAGCTTAAACTTTCCTTTAAAACATGTTCTTCAACCAAAATAGTCTTTTGGTTCTTCTGGGAGGATCTCTAGCACCCATACAGTGTTTGACATTCTCAGCCTTCCCTCTAACCTGGAAGGATCAGTCCAGGAGCTGGGTGGGCAAGGGTTGGGACTTGGGAAAGACCTGTCCTCCCTGGCACAGGGGCCACTTAGGCAAATGGTGGGTGACCTGACAAACACTTGTGTCTCTGCAAATATCGTGAACACTGTATGAAGCCAAGGGACAGATTGTGGACAGGGCAGATCCTGACTGCACTGAAGGCAGTGGCGGTTTTGTCACTGATTTCAGCACGACTGGGAGATATTTCACTTGGGGAATGTGTCTGTGGGTTAAGAAGAAAGTTAAAATGTCATCAAGTATTTCTGCAATGCACAGGAATGATGGAAAACATATAAGATTAATGGAGAGGAAGAAGGACCCCATTGGAAAACACGAAAGATTAATGGAGAGGAAGAAAGACCCCATCCACTGCTAAAGACATCCTTAGCTGTAAGCACTTTTATAATGCCTAATTGACTGTGTGACAAGTGCTAGAAGCTAAGGCTTTTAGCCTGAACACTGAGTGTTCAGTTTAGACCTACAGAAATAGAAATATTTTCATCTGAATTGAATGCTCAAAATAATGCACTGTTTTAATAAAAGTAGGATAATTGTTTAAGGTATCTGTATAATGAGGCTTAAAATATAATCACAAGCCAGTACTCACTACTTGGGATACTGAAGCAGTGAGGTGAAAGTTTTCATTCTAGCGCTAGGGCATGTCTGATGCAGTAACAATTACAGAATTGTATTCCGGTTTGGTAATAGAATTATCGTTATTTCCCTGTCTCTTACCTTCGTTCAGCTTTCTAAAATAAATCCCACCTGATCAAAATAACTCTTTTGATCCCTTTTGTAAGAGACCAGGTGTAAAACTAAACAACAAAAAAATTTAAAAGCTTGCATTTTCCTCATAACAGCATCTGTACCCTGGACCCTCTTTGTATGAACACACACTCTATCTCATAGATTCCATGAAAGTGGAGTAGGTACGACAGCCTAAGCTACTCATTTCTGTGCAGTGTCTGAGCAACAGCTGTGGAATAATACAGAGAAAAAACAAAAGGCTTTGTGCTGAAGCACACATTTTAAACAGCCACCCAAGGGATGAACAAAAATCAGCTGCTAAGTGAAGCTGGTTTTCAACTAAAGGTCAGATAAAATTGCACAGAAAACTCTGCTACTCAGCAGTGTTTCTGCAGGAGGGCTGTTATTTCTAGCTGTAGCATTATTTCTGGTGTTTTTAACAAAATTCACTCCTCCAAATATGTTAGCATCTCTTTCACTTGTGTCTGGATGAGTGCAAGCATGTATGTATCATTCTCATTTCTTTCAAACACCAGAAGCATAAAACATAAAATAGATGGAGAAACTTACAGCAATTGTACAGCCGGTTCAGTTTCTGGAGATCATAATCACTGAAATCCATTCTCTGTCCTATAACATCCATGAAGTCTGGTATGTTAGTGATGATGGTGGATTCAGTTCCATTCCTGAATGCAGTTTTGCTATAGTGCATCACAGAATTATAGTCATAGGGAACATTTAGGAAGTCTGATGTTTTATCATCATATTTATTGAAATTATGCTCTTTACCTAAATGGCAAAAATAAAAGGAAAGGTTGTTTTTTCATAGAATCATAGAATTAACTGGGTTGGAAGAGACCTCCGAGATCATCAAGTCCAACCCTTGATCCAACCGCATTGTGACTACTAGATCATGGCACTCAGGGCCACATCCAGCCTCCTCCTAAAAACCTCCAGGGATGGTGAATCCACTCCCTCTCTGGGCAGGCCATTCCAATGCCTGATCACTCTCTCTGTAAAGAACTTCTTTCTAATATCCAACCTAAACCTCCCCTGGCAGAGCTTAAGCCCGTGCCCTCTTGTCCTACTGCTGATTGCCTGGGAGAAGAGACCAACCTCCACCTGGCTACAACCTCCTCTCAGGGAGTTGTAGAGAGTGATGAGGTCACCCCTGAGCCTCCTCTTCTCCAGGTTGAACAACCCCAGCTCCCTCAGCCTCTCCTCATAGGACTTGTGCTCAAGTCCCTTCACCAGCCTCATTGCTCTTCTCTGGACCTGCTCCAGCACCTCAATGTCTTTCCTGAACTGAGGGGCCCAGAGCTGAACACAATACTCAAGGTGTGGCCTCACCGGTGCTGAGTACAGGGGAAGGATCACTTCCCTGCTCCTGCTGGCCACACTGTTCTTGTTGCCCAAGAGAATCAGGCTTTGATGTAAACTCTTACAGTAAAAAGAATCCATCAGATCCCCAAAAATTTTTTTTTGTAGTCATTTACTTGTACTTACTCTGTAAAATAGTTTTATTTCCAGCTTAGGGTTGTTTACTTTCCTCTTTCAGCCACTGGAGCATAACATGATGATGAACCACATTTTTTTCTTACCAGAAAACTTTTTCCCGTGAAACTGCTTGTAATCTTTGACGGGCTTGTAATATCCAAAAGTGGAAATAGTGTTTCAGTACTCAAATTACTGCAATTTGCAACTGAAATGCCTCCCTGTTTCTAATCTGTGTTCTCCATTGCTAGTCATTTTAGGTCATAGTAAACAAGTTAAAGCCGTCATTGGATAAGCTTCCACATGTTTTCTGAAGTATGAACAAAAAAATCATTGCTAACTACCCAATGGAGGGTAAAGATTTAAATTAGTCAAAATACAGTAACTATATTCTGGTTAGTGTAAAAAAGCTGCAGCAGTTTGAAATGGCTAACAACCAACAGTGCAACTTGTCACTAAAGAGTCAGCAAAATATAATGGAAATCAAATAACTGAGTCTAAGTCATTCTCTGCAATATATACTTGAATATGCACCTAATTATTGATCACAACTAAATAATAATGCATTAGGTTTAATCATTATCTACTTTTTCAGTCTTCTGTGTGTACCTGTATTAGGAAAGCATCAAGTCTGTGTATATAGCTTTGATTTTGAACTGCCTGAAAGTCACAGAGGACAACGACAAACTAGAGAGGCGAAGACAGAACAGGGTCCTGAGGAATCCTGTGCCAGCTCTCAGGCTTGGGCCAAATATGCCTACACTTACATCCACAAGCTGTATTGCTAAAGTTACTGCTGGTTGCAATGCAGACAACTGAAAGGGGTCTCTATGGACAGAAAGAGAACAACCAGTGTTTTCCCTGGAGATTTTCTACTGGTTTTGGTCCCACTGGTTTTTCAGAGTGGGTGGGGTTTTTTTAGTTATTTTTATTTTGTTAAGGGCTCCCAGAGTAACAGTGCTTTTAAAGTAGTCATTTAAACAAATTGAATTATTCTCTCCTGCTGCACTTCTCCACAACATGTAGCACAACAGGACTCAGATCTCTAGTTAGGGGGTTGAGAACTGCCATGGCACAAGAAATAACCACAGCAACAACAAATGAGGACTTCTGTACCAAACAGATGTCCCTTGACATTTAATTTTTTTATCTACTGGCTTTGAAAAGTAAGTCCAGGTAAGAGAATAGCATGACCACAAAAGGATGGCTGGAAGGGATGTTCCACAGCTAAACACCCTAGCACCAGGGCCTGAAAGGAAAAGCAGGGGAGTGACTGACCAGACTGAATCCTGTCCCAGACAATGGTCACATAGTCATCCCGGTCAGACCGTGACTGCTCATGCCAGAATCCCAGGGCGTGCAGGAACTCATGCTGGATTGTCCCAATTCTGTCACAGTTGGTTCCGATGGAGAGCTGCTGCAACCCCATTTGCATGTTTCCCACTGAGGACCAGCAGCTATCATTGAAATAAAATGAGAGAGGGCTCTGTGAAATACATACCACCCCCATGCCAAGCAAACTCCAGAATCAGTCTGTGCAACAGGTATACTTTTAAACTGAGCGCTGAAGTCACATTTTGCTCCAGTGAGCACTTTTTCATTGATCTGCTCCTTACCATATACTTTCTTCTCACATTTAGCTCTGTTTTGAAGAATAAGCAGTTCCCCGGATCTGGCTGTACTGCTTCCAGTGTGTTTTATTTAGCAGAAAAATGCTGAGTTATTTGTGGCAGAAGAAAACTGGTGAAGATTTTGTTGGTACTCTGGAACATCACAGGCACATGACTTAGTTTAAGCTACTGCAAATTAACAATTTCCAGCTGGACCACAGTACATGACTGTGAGAACCCTTTGAGCCTCTCCCTATCCTAGGAGGAACCAGGTTCACAGACATTCTTGCCTCTGCCATTGCAGCTACTTCTCTCTGCGCTGTTTTGGCCTTTTACTTTGCGTGGGTTTGTGGCTGCCAGGTAAGGTGGGATTCTGCATGGCTGTGCTTGCCTTATGACAGGTTGGTGGACTTGACAGTGCTTTTCAGAAGCTCATTTTTTTCTGGCTCTCCGTGAGCTGCTGTGCTAGATCACTTGCTGCTGACACACACTCACAAGGAACAGCAAAACCACAGCTGTGCTGGAAGTTTTTATTAAATGATAAAAAAATTTAGTGTGTTATCTGCACAAGCCAATAAAATGGCACCCCATGTCCACAAAGTAGCAAGCACAGAGAGCTACATTTAAATTGATATTTTATGCAGCAAATAAATCAATACTTGCCCAATGAAATACATAAAATTAATCGGGCACAAAATATGCCATAGGATTTGCGGCCCTATCGCTTCAGAAATTTTAAAATATAAGCATACCATGCACTTTTGAACTCTGTAATTTATTAGTGCCACATGTTCTCCAGTATTTCTTTTTCCACAGAGCAACACAGGCCTTGGCTATTGATTACTCATTAAAATCACAACATGAGACCTGGGAAGGAGCACATGTAGCATTCATAATTTCACGGGCTTCCCCTGAACAAGGCCTCATAGTGATTATGCAGCTTTTTCTCGTGTTATGCAGAACTATGAGAAGTCCATCACAGGTCTGAGTCTACCTTGTATCAAAGCCACCTCTGGCTTCACAGCTGCCACACAGAGCACAGCAGGCTACGGGTATACCCAGGACACCTGGCAAAACTAACATCCAAATGATGCAGCTTCCCTTTGCCCTCAGACTGCCAAATACCTACAACACCAGCGTTCTACAGCCACAGAGGGAATAAATACATGGTCTGCATCACCCTGCACTGAGAATAAAACTTAGGCAAGCGGGACAGGGCACTCCAGATCAATGGGCACCTGGAACCCCTTGTTAGCAGTGTCCTCAGGAGGGGAGAAAAAGTGGAGGAGAGTCCCAGCTTCCCTGGGAGTGTGAGACCTCTATCGCCACTGACTCAATGCTGTCTGCATGGCTATCAGAGGGTAGAGGCACAGAGAACTACCTCCTCTGACTACTCCCACCAGCCCTCTTTTTGGAAGGTGGGCTGTAAACAGCCACATGCCATCAGTAGCAATGGTGCCACTCATTTCAGATATGATTTTATGCTAATGTCCTGCTACTGATTTCCTTCCCAAAGTATCACAGATCACCAGTATTAGCTCACAGGCACTTTGACTTACCAGCAGCAAGCTGGCTAGCCAGGGACCTGTTTCAACCCACTTCTAAATCCACATGGATTCCCTTTGCTGTGCGCCACAGTGGCAAAGAGATGAATTGCCCTCTCAGGAGTGCTCCATGAACAACTGATTTTCCATGTGGAAATAGTAGAGATGACATCGATCCTCCCTGATCTGCTAACCACTTGAATCTACCACACCATGCTAGTTTTCCTGCGGAATGAATCCTTCTCTTCACGAGAAGACTAAGGAGAAATGGTACATCCGTAGCAGTTTCCCAGACTGTTCCGTGAGCTTTGCAGGCACTTGCCACATCTGATACTCCTGCATCTCTGTAATTCACAAGAATCCCCCCGGTATTTTGCTCAGCACATAGGCTGGAGTCAAGAAAGAATCTTTAAATAGACCCTGCTGCAGATGTATAGATCTGGGTAGAGCGTGAGGTGGAGGGCTGTGTGCTAGAAAACCTTACACATACCTCTACTCAGTTTTATAACTATATACCCGTTATCATAGCAGAGGCAGTAGCCAAGGCGTGGTGAATGGTAGGATGAAGAATGTGTACATGGAGAGGGCTTTTTGTACTGAGTGTTGTTACACTGTGTACATACATCAGAGACTACAAACGTATTTTTACACAGGGCAGTCAACCCAGGAAAGTGGCAGCTGGCTTCTTTTGTGGTTTACTTAGTTTGAATTCAAAAGGGCAATTCAGATGAGGACTTTATGGCCTACTACAAATCCTTTTGACACAAAGTTCCCCCACATTCCTCTGTTTTATAGATGCAAGCCAAGATCAGAAAGGCAAGGATGATTTATCAACTTTTTCTTGGTGTGGTAAAACTATGCTGCCAGGAACTTTGTGTGCCTGTCTGCACTGTACCTCTGGACTGAGGTCTTTAGTCAGCAGATAGAAGAGTCCTAGCTGATTAAAAAAAAAAATCCCAAAATATTAGGAACAGCAAAGGGGAAACGGGTTGGTTTACCCAGCTTACACCTTGTTCCACTAGATCCAAAGTTAGGAGAGGAGTGAAATGAAAGGCAGTTCATACAGGGTAAGTCCTGATTTCTTTGTTCAGCCCAAACTGACTCACTGAAACTGGATGGTTGTTTTCAGGAGACTGCACCATTTTGTTCCAACCTTTTTAAAAGTGCTGCTGCAGATGTGTCAGCTGAGGTGATAGAAACATTTCAGGGCAAGAAATACACTAGGCAGTGAGTGTAAGAAATGCTATACAACTAGAACGATTCGTCTTCTTCATCACCATGACTCATCTATTTTTAACAGACATATAAATGAAACATTGTGCAGAGGCCTCCTACGTGCTATAGGCTAAATATTGTGGTTCTTTTTCAGGTACAATTATTAGCAAATTTAATGCATACTTTATGGGAACAAGGATTAAAAAATTCAGCTACATGAGTTTTCCATCTAGCTCAAAAAGCCAGAGTCATTAGCACAGACTTCCCGAGTCTCCCCTTATACATCTTTTAGAGCTGAGTTTCAATGTCATATGTACAGCGTGAATAGCAGAAAATACAAAGAGCCCAAGACTGAAGAAATTTTGAAATAATTATCTGCTACAAATATCTCAGAACAAGCCAAAGGGAAAAAGAAACATTTTTATTATCAGAAAATCTTTTCCCATTTATGAATGCATTCTCATATCAGGAAATTATTTTCTGAAAGCAAATTTCCTCACCAGGCTATCAAGCTCTCCCTGTTCACCTTTTCTGAAGGAGAAATGGTTCAGCATAGAGTGGAGAATATATTTATTCTTGTTGCACTGTTTTGACAGAGGCTGTCTTAGAAGGAAAGAAGGTGGGGCAATTTTAACTTCTTTACTGGAGTCTTGTTTTGCAAAATTTAAGGTGAAATAACATAACTGTTCACCAAAGGAGGTAAATAAAGTGAAACCTCAGTAAAATATGTCAGTGTTGCACAGTGTTTAAAAATATTGCTCTTACATCTGAGTGCTGGTGTAACATTGTTCAAATGCAATTTCATTGTTATATTCAAAAAAAATCGTTGCCCCACAGTTAGAACTATCCCATTTCTTCTGGGATTTTTTTTCCCTACATACTAAGGTATAGTAAGAATAACCATTTGAAAGTGATACTCCATATATCCAAAGATCAGTCAAGAACATAACTGCCTTGTTTCTGATACATTTTACCATGTCCAGAAAATTACCTCTTAAAGGACTTAAATATATTGTATTTAAAATATATATAAAAATATTGTATTTAAAAATAAGTTTCAGTAAGTAATTGTTCATTATTACTAAGGTAATACCTGCGTCGGAAACTACTACAATTTCCAGTTTAAAAAAGACTGGGAAAACGAAGACAACAAAAATACAAAATTATAATCAGATATGTGAGTTTTAGAGTGAATATTGGCCATGAAAATAGTCTGAAGGCAAACAGAATCAAAGTTATTTTGAATTGCTCCTCTTACCCACTTCCTTTGAACACAGATATGTAATTCTTCTCCCCTTCCCAAGGTTTAAAGTCAATACAGGTTTTCAGTCGATATTGTTCAAATGCCTTGAGGATGAGTCCCTTAGCATTCATTTCTGCAAAGCAAACAGTGTTCTTGTCAATACTGAAGCAACAGATTTGTATTATTATCTGTATGGGGCAAGTTCTAAGGGTGGGTCTTGCTCCAGCTATCTTTGATCAAAATGAGCAGGCTTTTCTCTGGATTAAGACCAGAGTAGGGACCTAAGAAACATAACTTAGGCTGTTGTGACACTGTATCTTCCTCTTGTTTTGCTCCCACTTGTGGAGAAAAGGCCTTTTCCCCCACATCCATGTAATTTATCTTAGGTACTTATGTATAAAGTATGGCACGATGAGTATATAAAATATGATAGTGCATAGGTCTTAATTTTGTAAATTCTTTCATTTACTTTTTTTGAGATTTACATAAGCAAGTATTAAATACATAAGCAACAAAGACATCAGATTTTACCTAGTACAGAAGGCAGGCTACAGATCTCTCACAGAATTTCTCCAGGATCTGAAATGCTCACATTATATCTGGGTTATCTCCTCTAAGAAACTTGCATAGTTTCAGCCCATCTTAGATCTGACTTTAAACTGGGGATGACCCCACACCATGTAATCTTCCCTCTGTGGTATCAGTAAGAACTACAGCTCCCTGTCTCACTGCCCACCTCTGCCATCCAGAGCCACAGGCAGGCAGATTCAAAGGGATGGAGACAAACTATGATGTGTCCCTGGCCCACATTAGGAGACTCAGCAATGTGTCGTTGACTCTGCCTGTCAGAATGCCATTTTGCCTTCAGTGCTGTAGATGCTGTAAAGGGCTTCAAAAAGATCTTCGGTGTCCTCTTTTTACTTCTGCTTAGTAGAGTTTCATGCCTCAGACACAAGCTTTCAAAACCAAACTAACCTGCTGGGCCATAGCAATGGCAGAATGAGAATAATTCAAGAAAGGAGGTGAGAGCCAGCACCAATACCAAGATTATATACCCTATTTGTGCCCACTCAGCCCCATTCCTGCTCTGGGAAATGCCTGCTCTAGACTTAAGAGGAAAGGATGTCACAGAAGCTTTATCAAGCTGTATTTAACATTTCAATCAACACAACATACAGACATTGTCAAGGGTAAATACTGTACCCAGACTGTCCTCGAGGACGTAGGGAATAACATGGGGCCACCGATAGTTGTCACCAATGATGGAGTTTCGTTCCTGCATCCAAGAAAGAAGAGACATATGTAGTCCTCAGGAAAAAGTGATTTAGCATCAGGGACTACAATAGTGTTAGCAAACCTACAGGTCCAAATAAAGCATAAAGGAAAACAATGAACTCAGAAAAACTCAGAGGTCTAAGGTTCGAGTTTGAAATCCCTTCACTCCCTTCTACCAGTGTCTCCAGCTTCTGCACCCCTCTCTCCACAGTAATTACCTGAGCTTTTGATGCATGTGCATAGGAGCTTCAGCTCATATGGGAAGCATTAAGATTTAAAGTATTGAAAACTGAACAAGTATTAATAATTTTTTAATTTTTCATAATGCAAGGGTTTGTTTCCATGCCTTTAGCAAGCACCATCCTTGCTTTCACTGACATGCTCAGCCAAAGCATATCTCCCAAAAGGGAGAGTAAAACACTATCATCCTTCAGACTACAAGACACTTTCGGGGTTTCCTACTAGCTATTTTTGAGATGTAAATCCAATTATTTTTTTTTAATTGATGAGATAAGGATGCTTGTCAGACGCTTTAAAATGTGGTACTACAGATCTAATTTTTCCATTGGTTTTAGTCAATCTGTATGATGGATGTTTTGCAGCACTGCTCAGTAAATTTAATTGGCTCAAAATAAATATTGTACAGATAAAAGAATAATTTTTTTATATATTAATCTGCCTCGATGATTATCAGTGCTGCTGAATCTCTTAAAAGCTCAAACATAAAAAAACTCAGTAAAGGAAACAAGAAGTTAATAATATTGATCTAATGGCTAAACAGATTTCATGCTGGATAATGTTTCTGCAAATGCTCCTGACTCCTTCATCGTCTATGACATTTGGTAGAATTCCACCCCCAAACATCTTCAGTTTATTGTTACATAAACAACATTTATTGTAATAGAATTTCCATGCCAGTGATACTTTACATTACATAAGTCAATGACACATTTCTGGGTTTATATTTTATATTTGAACTCACCCCATGAAGTTTGATGTCTCCCTCAAAAAGGTCTAGTCCTAAAGCTAAAGGGAAGAGGATATAAACATTCGGTTATTGTATTGATCTGTGGCTAGTATAATGAAAATTACCAAAAAGAATTAAAAGAGAAATTGAATTTTGATAAACCTTCATTGATGTCAAAGATGTCTCGTTCAATTCCTCCATCTACATCCACTTCTGAAAAATAAAAAGACAAGTGAGGTAGGACATTAGCCCTTGCTGTTATCTTTATGAAGTGTGAAAATTAATGCAATAACAATAACAGTAATTATAAATCTGTGTCTGTCCTAGCGATGTTTACAAGCAGCTGGTTCTGTTGACTGCCTCCTGTGCATACAAATAGATCTCTAAACAGAACTCACCAGTTGTCTCTGGAGCAGGCTGGAAGGGGGAAGAAAAAAAAGGTATTATTAGAAAGGCACATGATGAAATGCAGTTCACATTACTCTCTCTACAATATTAGAGATGCGATTCAAGCTCAACTGACAGCACTTAGCACATGGCTTTGTATTGGATTGACTGAGCCCACTGCCTCCTCATTTGACTGGAATACTTCATTTGCTCATCTGTCAGCTTCGTTGCCCTCCCCACCTCAGGCTGCCCAACAAGTATGAATCAAGTAATCAAGTAAGTTTCCCAGTACTGCTCCTGTGAGGTTTCCTCTCACAACTCAAGTAGTACTGAATGGTCCTTCACAAACAGGGGAAAAAAAAAAAAAAAAGAGGTTATTGTTTCTATGGAATCAAGTATTGCTACTATCAGAAGCTGTGAAGAACCTATGGAATTTATGCTTAACTTTCCATTGTAAAGCTGAAGATGAGAGAACAGAATTAGTGGTCTGCCATCATACGGCAAGACTTTGAAGGACTGAGTACACAGCCCAGCTCACTTCAGCCCCAGTTCAGTGATATAGCAAATGGCAAGATACAACAGCAATTGTGCAAAACAGCATGAAATGGTTTTCTTTCTTCATTTAAATAATTTATTTTTTGTACATGAAGTTTTGCAGGTAGGACTTATTTTTTCCAGTGTGATAAACATCTGCAGCCTTCATTAGAAGCAATGACCAATACAAGTTCAGAGTGCTGAAAAATGGCAAAAGTCAAGTCCATGCAGTTCCCAGGAATATTAATTGGGGTAATTTCTACCACCTGTATGATGTGTAAGATAAAAGTATGGTCAGAATATTCAAGTGAGATTCAAATGCACATGTTCTTCTACGCCTAACTTTTGACACGTAATGATGGGAACAATTTTGAGGGTAATAAATTGTGAGCCTTAAAACTGATGACACTCATATAAAATGTTTAACCAAATACAGAAAAAAACTCTACCTTCCATAAAATTTCAAGATTTAGAAAGAGAGCTTTGAAATTGTCAGAAGGCCCTATTTTAGCTTTGTAATGGAAGATTAATTTTTAATCTCAAATGACTGTCTTGTAAAAACTTCAGAAAATGGCAGAAAAAATACTGCAAATACAAAAGTTTGAAATCTCATTTTATGATTTTGATTCACCTGAACTAAGATTAACTCAAACTGTTCCTTCAGAGTTTTTGTCAGATTTTAAAAATTTATTCTCATTGCCTTAGAGGGGAAAACTTTCTTTTGCCAAAACAAATCAGAGGCTAGATTTTGTAGGTTTTTAAGAGAGATAATTCCTCCCTGGTATCAGCTGGCACAGTCAAACCCTTAATATCTGTTATATAAACAGGTGAAGTTTTTAATTTAACTTCTTAATTTTTTTAATGAAAAGTACTACCCACATATATCCTTGCTCAGTCTAAAGGCAGGATTTTGACCTTGAAGTGTTGGTTACAGAAAAAATTGAATAGAATCTTTTTCCTGGTTGAATTTCTCCTGAAACAGCCCTATATCTGCAGTTTGCATTTTTGAGTGGTTTTAAAATTTGGTAGATTTTAAGATAGGTGACTCTTAAAAGCCGAGTATCATTGTAGAAAATTGATCGAGTCCAATGAAAAACTGGTTCCAGAATTCTGCAGATGAAAATGCCGAAGGATTGATTTTGATTTCACATTTCAGAGTTAACTATTCAGAGTTATCATTCAGGTTAACTCCTCTTCCTGAAGGGGACTTCGGGGGGGGCGAGGGGGGAATAGAAAAAAAGCATAGAAAAAAAGCATATAACTGTATACAGATACAGTTTAATAACCCCAGATATCTTTTTTTGGACAAATCATCCACATATTTGAGATGTCAATAGGCTCCTCCTACATGATGAAGTTTTATTGCACATTTATCATTATATTTTGTTATCAGTGTATAAGACAGTTTGTTATCACTGTGTGACAGTATACACATACTCAAGTTTTGAAACGAAGGTGCAGCTTGTAAAACAAGCTGAAAGTACATGGGCAAAGTATGTAACACCCATTTTGAACTGTAACCATTAATGGGGAGTAACATGTTTCTACAGTTTCAATAACTATAAACTACAATGCACTCATATTTACTAATCAGAAAGTATAACTGTGCCAAAGGTACAAACTGGCTAACTCCTGGAAAAGTTCCTCTAGCAGCAGTAAAAGCTCATAAACTGAAATCAATGTAGCTAAGTATAGTCATGCTTTGGTGCACAAATCAAAAAGTGAGTCCATGACTGAGCAATGCCAAATTCAGCAACTCAGCGAAATCCAGGCTGGTCCTCGGTGTCCGAGAACTGCCACTGAATGTTTTACGCCAAAGGAATCCCTTCCATCACTTCTTTTCACTTCTTTCCCAACAAAACTAGGTCTTTAATCCTGTGAATCTCAACACCAAAACAGTCTGTTTCAAAGAGAGTATCTCTGCATACAAGTATCATTTGTTTCTGTGGCAATGACTTTGGTCTCAATACCAGCCTAACAAACTATATGATGAAGCCTGTGGAAGTACTGTAAATACACAACAATTTCACAGTTCATAGTCACATATAGAGGAAGGTTGTGTAAGCTGAGGTGTACCAAACAGGAATCTAATTTATTCACTCACACAAATTTCTGAACGTTTTTTATATCAGCTCCTAACTTTGGACATGGGCAACGTGGTTTGTGCGAATTAAGATACAGCAATGGTTGGTTAAACCCTGGCTTGTAAGCATATTTACTGGCAAATAATTCAAGTGCATCTTGGACAGATGGGAAACATCTCACCTATTGAAGTAATGTAAAAATTAGGTAAGTAGACTCACTCAGTAATCACTGGAGAAACAAATGGGTAATGCTTATGTTCCTAGAGTACCTGTGGCACCACTATGATGCCCTGGCATCTCCATAAGTTGATCCACTTCACTTGGAAGTCTATTCAAGGATGTGATAAATCATTTGATGAAAATTTCCCTGTCTTACCATAAACCTCAGATGGAATATATTCAGCTGCTTTGGATGACACCCTAACTTAGCACTGTTTTCTTCAGGCTATATAATTTTAGTATTGGCATCCAGAAATATGAAATGGGCTCTTCCTGGCCATGGGAATTTAATAATTAGCCCTAGTGATCAGAAGCCACTCTCACACAAGACTTGGTTATCAGGAATCAGTTTGATGTCAGATAACTTGTAGATGTTAGTAGCACCCTGCATCACCCACTATGGGCTTTAACACAGCCTGCAGTGGAATCTAAACAAGGCTGAGACTTGAGTTTCCAAAAGGCTGGGGAAGAGGAACAGGTAACGGAAACAGACGTGTGGGATTGGGGTAGTGGGGGATACAGGCGGACTATGGGAAAGTTGGGAGTGTGAGGTTGAGCTCTTGTCTTAGGGAGATGTATGAACATGTGCTAGTGGAGAGGAAGAATACAAGGCTGCCACAGTGAGATACAGAAGGTGGATTCATAGAATCAAATAGTTAAGTTGCATAACTCAGATAATGTTATTGCACTTAGATCATGTCACAAAAAGCAATACCTTACACTGTAGATTACCCTGACACTATGAACAGTTGGTCAACAACCTCTGTTCTCCAAACTAATTATATTGTGCATCACCAAAAATTCCTGACCTCTACAACAAAGCATCCCAACATGACCAAAACGCTATATTTCACTACAAAAGACAGGAAATATAAAAATCTCAACTATTACTTTTTGACCTTAAATATTTCGGCTGGATTGGAGGAACAGGGAGCAGTCATTTCCAAGTATATCCAGTGGCTAGAAAGGCATCACTTTCAATACCAAATATATTGTGTTACAGAAAAAAAAAAATCCACTTAAATATGGAGTAGTGAAATACATTTCAGTACTTATTTTGTTTCTAACCCCAGACTTGTTATTCTGGTAATGGCACTTTGAGTACTAGTGGACAACTTGCTTAGATGAGGAACACAAGATAAGTTCTTTCTATGTATAGCCAGGTCTATGAAAAAGAGCAACACTTTCCCCCAGGAAACAGAAATCTTCTCTCTCTCTAATGCAGATGATAATAGAATTCTTATATTGCAAAATCAACATACTTAATAGTTTTCCTCTCAAACTCATCTTAAGTTGCATTAGTTACTCAACCATATAAAGAATATATATTCTTTGTTTTCTTACCAGACTCCAGACCACCTGAAGAAGAAGCCAAGTTAGAAGCACAGACACAGAAAACAAGTTCATGTTGTTCTCTAGTCAGCAGTTGCATGGACAGAATTTTAGACCAACTTGGTATTTAAGGCAGTAAGTATCATAAATCAAAACCTTTGTCCTCCCAACAACGATTAACTTAACTACCTTTTTCTTGTCAAGTAAGCTAAGTCCATCTTAACTTTATTACTGATGTGAGAAAAAGGATTGGACATAACCTGAAATACATGATGAAATGGAAACAAGGAAAATGGAAATACAGGGGACATGGGCACACTTTGGGAAATACAGAAAATTCCATTTAAATTTAAGAACTTTAAAGAAATAATTTGGTTTTTATTCCAGGGGGTTTTAAGCACTAGAACAAGTTGCCGAGAGAAGTTGTGGAATCTCCATCCTTGAAACAGTCAAAACTCAATCAAACAGACCTGAGCGATGCACATGACCCTACTGGGGTGCTGCAGGGAAACTGGGCTAGGCAATCTCCAGAGATGCCTTCCCATCTCAGTCATCCTGTGATTCAGTGAATAAACCTGGTACTAAAGCCTTTTGAACAATAGAAAACTAGCAAGACTCTTGGCAAGCAAGCCATTAATTCTTTAATAATTATGCATTTTTTTGACCGGAAGTGAAAATGAGAAGTGTGTGTGCGTTAAAAAAAAAAACAAAAAAAACAAAAAAACAACACCTGTCAGCAATATAATTTCAGTATTCTGCTTTTGGAAAATGCAATTCTATTTCTATTTTGATAGATGTGAGACACTGTATTTGTCACTATCTCAAATCATGGTATCCTTCGATCATTTAAAGATTCCATGCAAATTAATATTTAAAATGTCAGTACCACTGTACTAGCACCACTCATCACTGTCTGTGACTCTTGGGTGTTTCTTCCAACTCCAATCATCTCTTCTACTTCCTACCTGTCAGTGAGTGCTGAAACTGCCACACTTAAACTGCATGTACTTGTGGTAATTGTATGATCAGGCTTTGATAACCTTTTATTTTCCCAGACCAAATACTTGGATAGACCAGCATGAAATTTAAATTTAGATTTTGCATTGTAAACACAGACTTTCAAATTATGATACAAAATTAATAACATTTGGCACAACATTTTAAGTATCAGAGGTAACAAAAAAGAAAGAAAGAGTAATGAGGACACCTAAGCCATTTCTAGCTACTCAGATCCATACTTACTTATTGCTGATGCATTGAGAAGTAGCTGTTGCAGGAATTGTTGTTCTTATAATGTCAGGGTCTTTTTCTACTAAAGTAGCTAAATATTGTAATCCTCTACTCACCAATATTGGTGATGTCAACTGCTCTCAAATCAGTGATGCTCAGTAGGTTGAAACGCTCTTTTAGCCAAGATTTCTTCTACGAGTTCAGTGCTCCTTGAATTCTGCATGCTGTCATCTCCAGCTACTGAGAGAGGATGGTAGCTCTTCTTTTGGAGGCTCTCTAGATCGGCAATGTCCACACTACCAAGTATTTCAAACCAACATGAACAGATTAATAGACAGAAACACCTGGTGGCAAGAACCTGGCATGTACGCTGTAGACATCTCAAAGGGCTCTACTTTGGTCTGGCTCTGATTTGATCCCAAGGATATCAGTGAGGACAACTGGACTGTGTTAGGCAGGAATCTGCAGAACATATTCTGGCTTATTTTCAAAACAAAGGAATTCAATTTGGACACCCCAAAACTGCTCTGTGATGCAAATTAAAGCATGGTAGAGTAACCATGAAAAAACATGATGATAACACTTGCTTAAAAAATACACTCCTGATCAAAACTAAAATACTAATGCAGCTGCTTCCAGTATTCCTTGATTATAGTACCTTACAAGGGTTTTCCTGAGATGATGAACTCAAAAGAAATGCAAAAATTTTGGCCTTGCTACTTGGTGTTGGAAGAAAGCCTAAAACTCTGCTTTTCTACTGCTTTGGTCCTCTTTAGACACAAATAATCAACACAATTGTTCTCTGTTCCCTCTTCCCCACTTCTAAGATGCATCAATCACTATTGAGACCTCACACCAACCTTTTGTCAGTGGTAGATAGAGGGATGAAGGGCTGTATGAACCTCTGCGTCATGACCATTGCTACTCCCAGGACTGGCTGAAAAGTGAGTTACCTGAAGAAAACAGGTGTTGGTGTTGGAACTGGCATATAGTGACAACAAACACAAAAGGTACAAAAGTTATATGCCGACCCTGCATTGCGAAAGACATCCATATACCCATTTTTCCTTCAACTCACACCTCTTTTTCATTAAATAAACTCAGAGTTTTGACACCTCAACCAGTCATCTGGTTGGTATAATAAAACAAGATGCAATGGAAAAATAAGCAACATGTTAACAACAGAACATTAGGACTTTTAAGATAGAACCTCTTGGCAGAAATATCAGTGAAGCAGTCAAATGGGTTTTTTTATTACATGTTGAGGAGAAATTAATAAATAGATGTGCAGTCTTCAGGAAGTTTTATTTCTATCTAATCACAGAGGATCTTTTTGACAGGCCTTATCTACTTTTGTTATCCTGTTCTCTACAATGACAAACCTTTTGCTTTATCACTGACTGGCTGTCTGTGTTCAGGCTATATTCTTACCCCTTATTTTCCTTAAGGCTTTTCCTACAGGATTCCTTGCATTTTTCTTAGCAGATGAAAACAGCCATATCATACTTCTGAGACAGGCTCATAGTCAGAAAAAACTGAGTATTACTGAGATGAATTAATAAAGGGTAGTGCAAGTTATTTGGATAGTGCTAATTTTCAGATTAACAAAAAGAATGGTGGTTTTAGATTATGTCTTTATTGCATAGGGCATATATGTTGAGGAAAACATCTGGCCCAGGTAGCTCAGCTTGCAAGCTGCAGACTGAAATGCAGATTGACTGCCAGAGAGTCTCACAAATGGTCAGACTGGGAGACTGGGAAGTTTCCTTAACACATAACTTCCCTTAACATATAGCCAAAAGTAATGCATGTCCTTTCTTGATACATTCAGGGACCTGTGTAATTCAAGGATGTTATTTCCATTAACATTTTGATCTGCAGGCGGACTCCACCACTATCCTAATTGCAAGCTCTGAGTTTGAAGAAAAGTAAAAACATTAAATGCAAATGAGAAGGAGCAGGTCTTTAACTGGTCGATTGCTTTTTCCTTTCTTGCACTTCTTTACCTTAAACATATTTCACATTTTTTTATGGGTGCTAAACTATCTAATGAGCCCTGAGTAACTGTAAGAGACACCTGCAAAATCTGAGCTTTTGCCAGTCAATTACATTTCTTTTTCCATAGGCTCACACGCTGCTAGTAGAAACAATGAAAAGGAGAGACATCAGAACGTGTTGTGGAGCTTGCTGCAGATGCACTGCGGTGACCACTTGGATCTCCTGCTGAGTTCACTTTGTGAGCACCAGACAGATGCAGATTGCACCTTCTCCTGGACAGGTATTGTCTCTCCATGCCTTCCTAGTAGCACTGCTGCCAGTGGGTACTATCATAGCACAGGTAATAAAGATACTGCAGTGCTTTCCCTCTGCCTTGCTGCAGAAAAAGAACATTAATCAGGCATCATCCAATAGAGCTGGCAAATATCACCTGTTTTATTCTTCTTTGTAAAGCTACATCTGTGGGCAATAACCTGGGAAGAGACAGTAATGAGGGCAGAGAGACTAGGAAAAATGAGTGAAGTATAGGAGGGCAAGAATGCTCTTTTAAAAGCCAAAAGAACTTAATTTCAAAACACAATATTAGCTAACTACATGGAACCATAAACCCAAGTAAAATTAGTTCTATAAATACAGTGATTTTCTAGAATTTTTGGTAGGTAGTTTCATATTTGAATAGTTTTATTAATCTTCTGTAAGTCAGCACAAATACTTTGGTAATTGTACTATCTGTATCCTGCTCAGCAAACAAGGGTGATTCATGGGTTGCTTACTGACATTTTGGTGGAACCTGTCTGATTACAAAATTCAGTGTCAGCTTCAAGTGATATGAATTCGTTACATAATATGAAAAGTGCTGTATTTCATATCCCACTCAGAAGTGCATATAGACCAAATGTGAAAGAGTATGAGGATATTCAGATGGTCTCATACTCTCAGATAGAGGATTGTCCTTGCCCTGTCTCAAGCTTCCTGCATTATCTTGCACAAATTAGTTTCACTTTTTCAGTTATCTCCCAAACCAAGATATCACTGCAATAGTATCTCTTTGGCTGATGAGGCAAAAGCACCAACGAAGATAAGAGTTGTCAGATAAACCTGCAAGATAAGAGACCCTCAATCAAATCCAAAATGCTTCAAGTTGAACACCCAAATATTTCAAGTTGGGAAACTCCAATGTTTACAAACCTAGTAAGTGTCACGTGGGATATAACGTAAGAAAGTGAAAATTACACCGGATATCAAATACAAGTGTTCCATCTACTTGCAGAGGAGCAAATAAGACAGGTTTGCTTTGACTGAGAGTTTATTAAAAAAAAAAAATTAAGCAGACCTTCAGTTTCTTCTATTGCTTAGCTACTGCTAAATTAAAAAGCAAGGTTGAAAAGCAAAAAGCAGAAGGTTGGGTATAACATTGCATACCATTCTGCCCACTGCCACTTCAGACATACTTTAATCATTATTTTGTGTGTGTGCGTGAGAAAACAGTATCTCATAAATTAAATAACTAGTCATACAGGATTACACCTCTCTCCCTCTCACAGGGATCTGAATCACGTCTGACATGTTTTTACATAGATGTATTTCAGAGTAAATATGAATCAGATTACAGTGTGAAAACAAGCTGCCACTGACGGGCAGCTACCTAAGTGGCTGTAGCTGGCCACTAAGTATCATGCCACTGCAGAAACATACTCTAGGGATACTTAGGTCTTTCTCAGATGACGGAGGTGGGAGAATTCCTCTCTTCATTCCCGAGGACTGTAACAACCCCAAACCATCGTGAATAGATAATGACGCATACCTGCACTGGGCACCGGGTGGATCTCACCACCGCGGCAGAGGGAATTAGC